AAAAATTAAAAATAAATAAATAAATAAAAATAAAAAAATGTCACATACAACACTACTGTCATGAATCAAGAACATATATTTTCATTTCCAGATCCCAGGATGGGTTCCTATAAAGCCCTCCCAAGGGAAAGCTATCTCAAACTCCCAGGAAAATTTGGTTCCAAGGTGATCCTCAAAATCTCAACTTAAGAATCACTTTGAGGTCTCCTTTCAGGTTCATATATGTATAACCAAAATGGCAGGGTTTTAGTATAACCACCTGTTTCTGTCCAGAGCTTTAACTCCGGGAAGGCTCTAGAATTATTCAAGTCTCTCCCAAACCCTGAGACATCCAAAGGAGAGTCAGTTAGCGCCTTAATTCAACTGCTCTGAATAGAACCACATCAAAGCAATTATTTGTACTACCCTCCTTCTTCCTCAAAGAATTCACACTATTTAACATAGTAAGAAATGAACTTCTGATACAACGTACTATTTTCCTGGGATTCTATATACAAAAATTCATCTTGAGATTTCACCCAAGAAGATCTATTTAACACAAGTACCAAAGGACTTTTATAAGCCATTCTATGGCTTGATTCCCAAAGAGAACATTCTAGTGAGATCCTAGCTAAGCAGAAAGCTAATGTTACAGCAAAATTTCAACTATGATGTATTTAAATAGAATCTTTCCATATGCAAAACAAAAAAGCTGTCATTGTTTGTCCTCCAAAAAACAAATGAACTGTTGTACTTTTTCTTGAACTAACACGTAACATCAAGTTAAAAAATTAACATCAGGAAATCAGAAATAAGCTGTTCTCTTACCTCCACCACTGTGGTTTCTGCAGCTTTGCACATGGGCAGGTTGAAATTCCTGGCACTTTTCCTACATCAGGGGTGGGGGAAATAAGAAAGTGGAGAAAGAAGACCAAAAATAAGACGCACTTCTTTCAGCTTTAATTATAGATTAAAAGAATTTCTATAAATTAAGAATCTGTGAATCTTAGCAAATCATATTTTCCATTAATGAAGTTTTATAATTATTTTATAAATGAAAATAATAGAATGCCCACTTCACTTAATTATATGGTTTTTAATGGGGTTGAGGGAAAGAGGGGCTATTTTTCAGTTTCAACATATAGATTACACACAGGAAAATAAAATGGATATTAATAAATATATTTAAAACTAATTTCCCTAAATATTTTAATGGGGATACCACTTTATTTCTATAGTTAAATATTTCACTGAACTTGCTCTTATTAAAATATTAAGGAAAAGCAGCAAGTGCTTCATACGAGAAGGTATAGTAATTATATTCTCTATTAAAGAGAAGCCTATTGAAGCCTACTGCAGAAACTAAATGAAACATTCATTGGTAATTTGTGAGTCACCTATAAAGATAATTCTGGAGAATCAATTTCTAATGAAATTTTTGAAAGTACGACACCCACATCAGACCCTGAGGTGTAAAAATTTCAAGAAGGTGCCAATTTTGCTGATGGTTTTGCATTCCCACATTTCTAAATTAATGCACTTCCTCTAACCATAAAAATCTAAATGTATTTTTGTTTCTGAGAGTGTTCAGTTGATAGAAAAATTTCTTTGGTAAACGGAAACAAGTCACAGGTGTTTTACTAGTCATTTAAGCCACTGATGTTTATTTCACTTGGATTCAAGAACAGGTGTGCCCTTGAGAGGAGTCCTGTGTACTTGCACAAGTTGTTGTGTTGGATTCCACCAGACATGCAGCATCAAAAGCTCCAAGGGCAGAGTGGCCAGAGGTAAGGGCATCCAGAGCTCTCCCACTTTAACAATGGCCTAGACAGACGTCTGTACCAGTGGTCTCACTAAACATGAAGGTGGTCCTAGAAGTCAGTATCTTAAGAATCTAGGTCACTTGACCATTGGTGATGAGTGCTCTCATTTCACATTACTGTTCAATGGTTACTTAGCATAAACCATAGGCATAAAGTCTTTGCTTAGAATAGCCCTTGTGCAGTCTTTAGATAACTAGAGCCAGGGAGTGGAGCACGGATAAACTCATGGAAATATTCTAAATAATTCATTTCCATTTGCTACTATACAATTTTATTAATTTTTTTTAAAAAGCAACTAAAGTTTGCAAACATTACACCAAGGTGTCAGATAAGGTAGACAGGATGCTAATTACCAAAATTAGCTGTAATTTCAAAAACTGGCTGAATTCAAGAAATCAAATATAGTATTAATATTATATAGATTCTTCAGAAATGAACAAAGACAACATGAGAGTGGTCACTGAGAATTTAATTGAGATTGTACCAAAGCCGCATTTGGTAAAGATAAAAAATTGCGAACTAAAAGAAGCAAATGACAATATTATGAGAAAGAAAATGATTTCTGTAACCTAACAGATAAAGTTTTCAAAACCAAATATTTTGGAAAAACTTTTATATGTATATTCAAAGGTGGTATAATTTTAACAACTATATAATCTATAAATCCAAGATACTAAATACTTGATATTTAGTATGCTTAGGATAATCAAAAGATCTTGAAATCTATTAAGCCTATGGCTTAACATCCGTGGTTATCCAGATAATGAGAATGAAAGTTTAGTATTACTAGGTTAATCAACTTTTCAGATAGAACCTTTATAAGTATTTCCCAGTAGACACCAATAGCACTGGAAAAAAACTGATCTCAAAGATTATTAGCAATATCTTTCCAGAATATCAAAGTAACTTAGACATTTTAAGATAATGCATGTAACAATATCAAAATTAAATATAATTGTGTGGTTTTGTCATGTTTTCTAAGCATGTCTCCACATTATAACTGGTCTTGGTGACTAAAATACACAGGGAAAAAAATAATTTGTATGCGACTATATTCAAGGGCGTATAGATTCAAATATTTAACAAGCAGAGCAACATGGACACCAACCAATCAGAACAGACTTCCATGAGTATACTACACCAGCGAGACCACGTAGCAGCAGCCCTGCACACACATATATACATATACATGTGGGTGTGTTTGAGTTTAAGTCTTTTTTAAACGAATTTTTAAATAGCAAACACATAAAGATATCCATTTTATAATCACAATTTAGGAAACAGAAAGTTGCTGAAATGCATCACGTTAATATTTTTTAAAACCATCACACTACCTGAAAATCACGTTTCCTGCTCGGTCTGCCTTCCAGGCTTTCACCAAAGCAAAATCCCCTGTAATTGCTTCCTCTAAAATAAAATGCCGACCGTTAAACTCTCTCACCTGCAGGAGACAAGGAGGGCATTGTCAGTGATTTGCACGGGTCTTGTTTGATTGTAATATGTGCTCTGATAGAGGCAGATAAGAAGGATACGAGCTTAGTCAGAGAAAGTTTCTCCGAGAGAGAAGAATCTAAGCTGACACCCGAGGATGAGTAGTGGTAGGCAACTAGGATTTAGTTAAAGTGGTGGAAGGCGGTACCAAGGGAACAGCAAGTGCAAAGGCTCAGTGACAAGAGAGAGCTTGGTAAATTTGAGGAACCAAAAGTTCCACATGCCTGAGGCATACACTGTGTGTGTTAGTATTCACTTTATTATTTGCATATATAGGTTATGTATTGAATATGAAAAATAGTCCCTCTTTCCCTCTACCCCAAAAATATATATATATAAGTTGCATGAAATGGCCAATGTATTGTTTTTGCACATAAAATAGTTATAAAAATCCATTCATCTCTCCTAATTAATCTATAATCATCTGTTGAGATTTTAATTGGGATTCCTACGATTTGTAGATTAATTTGGAGAGACCTGGCAAGCCATACATTCCCACCCATGAGCATAATATATGCCTACTTTTTTTTTGAAATCTTCTTTTACCTCCTTCAATAGTTTTATAACTTTCCCCATAAAAGCTTTGTATATTGTTTTAGGTTTATTCATAGGGACTTATGATGCTACCATAATGTTACACTTTATTCTATTACACCTCCTCTTCTGTCACTTCTGGTCCAATGGAATGCTATTGATTTTTGTATATTTACTATCGTTTAATTTTACTATGAACTTGTGGGGGGTGGTGGCCGTGGTGCATAAAGCAAAACTATGCTACGGCATCATGTTCCTTTTTCTTCCTGGGGATTTATCTCCAGGAATTGAAACAAAAAAGAGAGGAAACCACGTCACTTGGTGCACTCCACCACTACCCAGGATGGCAGCCACTTGAAGACAGAGCTCCATTCTCCTTCCTACTGCACCCCCTAGTGGACAAACTGCATGCCTTCTGTAGAAAGCCTCAGCAGAAGAGTTTTGGTACGTTTCCTTTTCTTCACTACAGTTTAAAACAGAAATCCTTTCTTAAAGAACAGTTTCCTAAAAGACATTATCCCACTTTCCTGCTAGAAAATATTAATGAATTTAGAGAATCGCTGATAAACGAGGGTCTTTGGATGAACTTAGACAAATTACATGAAAGATATTTATAAGCTTACATCAATATACAAATTTTTTTTAAGAGTCTTATGTATTTCAAAGTCATTACTGTGAATACCAGTGATGACAGCTGGGTATTTTACATACAGTTCTAGAAAACCAGGCTAAATATATGCTAATCCAGGGCAGAATTTAAAAATTGGTGTTTTTTTCCTATCCCAATTATATAATTTCCTGATGGGTCTACACACTAACTGTTGCTGAGTGTTAGCTATTCCAAAATCTAAAAACAGGCAAGGAACTGGTTTTGTCAAACTAGCTATTATACTCACTTGAAAGAGTTACGCATTTCACGGTCCCCTTACTCATCTTTCGGTCCTTCCTTGAATCCACTCCCTCTCAGTGAATCCACTCAGATTTTCACTCCCTCTACTCCAGAAAAACCCCTCTTCAAGGTCGCCAATGACCTCCACGTTTCCAAATCCAATGGTCAATTCCCAGCCTGTATTACCGGCCTCTTCACACTCTTTGACACAGTTGATCACTCCCTCTTTTGTAAAATTTCCCTTGTCTTTCAAATCACCAGACTCGCCTGGGTTTTCTCTTCCCTCACTAGACACTCTTTTCCATGCTTCTTTGCTGCTCCTTCTCCTCTTCCCAACCTCTAAATGCAGGGGGTGTTTTCCAGCTGCACCCCAGCCCTAGCCACTCTTCTAGTCCCACAGATTTAAATACTCAATGCCGATGCCTCCAAAGTTCCTATCCCAGCTCTAAACTCCCCCCAAGCTGGAGCCTACTGAGCGCCTCCTCTTGGAGTCTAATGGATGTCTCAGAGGCACCATCCCTGATGGCTGATTACTCCCATGCTTTGTCCATCACAATAAGCAGCATACTTGATTCTTATCTTTTTTTACACCCTACACCCAAGCCATCAGTAAATCCTGTTGGCTCTACTATCAACATATATCCTGATTCCAACCACTTCTCACAAATTCCACTGTTACCACCTGAGTCTAAATCACCTCCCACTCCCACCTGGATTAATACAACACCCTCTTAATCTCTCTCATTGCTTCAGTTTTTGGCCCCCTACCAAAAAACTCACTTCCCAACAGCCACAGTGATCTTTCCAAAACGTAACTCAGCTCTCCCACTTCTATTCAAAACTCTCTGTTGGCCTCTCACCACTCAGCCAAATCCAAACTCATGTGATCTGGCTCCTGCCTCTCTTCAACCTCCAATTGTACCACTGCCTCATCTGCTCTGTTCCAGTCTCACTGCCCTGCTATTCCACACACAGGGCAAGGCTGCCTCAGGACCTTCCTTCTGACTAGAGCACAACCCTATGATCTTTGCCTGGTTCATTCTCCTATTTTATTCAGGTCTCCACCAAATGTCACCTCCTCAGAGACGTTTTCCCTGACCCAGTCTGGAACACCACCTCCTTGGTCACTGACCACTCTCTCTGCCTTTACCTGACTTGATTTTTCTTCACAGCACTTTCAGTACTGACATTATGTGTTTGTTTATTCATTCCTTCTGAGTTCCGCACTAGCAGAGGGACTTGGTCTAGATCTTCCCTTTTTCCAGGGTACTTAGACCAGTGCCTGGCAAATAGTACGACTTCAATAAACATAAGTGAATTAAGGAATTCACCCACTTCTTCTTCCTAACCTAGAGAAGGGAAACAAAGAGCTAACAAGAATTGTTTCAAGAAATCGTCTGTTGTATTTCTAGGAGATTCAGACAAAATGACAAAACTACTAGATTCATGCACCTGACTCCAGGCAGAATGAACCTAGATATTCAGGACAAATCCTACTCTATCCTAGGTTTTCCCAGGGTGAGTTAATGCTATAACTTCTAGCAAGCTCTCAAAGTATTAACCCAATTTTTCTGGGCATCTTGATCTATATTACTAAGATCCATTTTAATAATTAGGCTCCTGTATTTTACTTTTCCAAAAACTTTTTAAACCTAATTAGGCAGTAAAGAAAGAAGATAGAATGTAAAAAATGTTAATAAAAGCTTTGAGTCAATATAGGTCAGTCCAAGCAGAAAGGCAAAGCTCCAGATGGAGGACGCGGCGGAAGACAAACACTGAAGAGCAGGGGACACGTTCGATGACCTTTTATCTTCCCTCAAAACACGGGGGCGCAGAGCTAACATCCCTATAAGCAGAAAGGTGATGAGAGCCCTTGATTTACTAAGTTTTCTCTTCCCTAGAGCTAAGCTCCCCATTTCTGCAAACCGTGCTAATTCTCTTGAGCCACATGGGCAGGGAGAAGGGAATAAAATACAGTAATGAAATATTAGCGTGGGCAATTTTTAAAATTGGCTCAAATCTGAGTACCTCAAATACCTATATCTAGAGTTCTATTTTTTTCTAATATGTGAGTGAAGTTACCTAGTATAAAGGTGCCCATCCCATCGGCACTTCAAATAAAACTAAGTCATTCGGTCTAAAGCTCAAGTGTGTCCAGTGCACAAAATGAAGGATAAAGGAGACAATATGAACTCTCTCTCTCTCTCATTACATAATTACAACTGTCCCCTGCTTTTCAAGATTGTAGACAAACTTGTGATTTCCTTGGCTTTCTTTTTCCTCCTCTAGTCACATCCGGAAGGGGCCTGGGCATGAAGAGTTTAATACCATATATATCATACATCTATTCTATTTTCCACTTAAACATGATCGGCAATTATAAATGCTCCTAAATTTGTTAAAACCTCTCATAAAACTAACCTTGACTCACTCATCTGATAAGGATTATAGTTTCTTTTCTTCTCACTTATTTATTCTGGTTTCTCTATGTGATTTTAATTATTAGCAGATCCTCAGTTTTAGCTAGAAATTTTATCTAAAATAGTTACATAAATGAATGATGGTGTTTGTTCTCACACAAAGGTGATTTTATACTTATTTACCCAATGAGTCCACCTGGAATCCCATGCTGAAAGAGGCCTCCCGGTGTTACCTGGATGGGAGTGCTCCTTACCTCTCTTGGCTTGCTGGCAATGGCAATGCTGCCATCAGTGTTGTATTTGATTGGTGACCCTCCTTCTTGCACCAGGGTCCCATACCCTGTGCTGGTGTAAAATGCAGGAACTCCAGCCCCACCTGCACGAATCCTCTCCGCAAGCGTGCCCTACAAGTGAGCACCCAACACCCTATAAAGAGTTCATGAAGCACACTCTGTATGTGGACACACAAACATTCACAGAAGTGGTTCCTACTCTCTAGAGGCTTATCACTCTCAACAGTACCTGAAGGAAGTAAATTATATTAAAAATTTAAAAGTTAATACCTTAGAGACAGGCACCTCCACACCCTAAGGATTCCTGGTATAAGGG